TTAAGATCGATTAAGATCGATCTTGATCCATGTAGATCGATCAAGATCGATCTTGATCCATGTACATCGATCAAGATGGATCTTAATCGATCGATCGATTGGTTGATTGATTGATTGATTGAAACTTATCAGGATGGTCGTGCAGGCAACCTTCCGCCACCAATCAATCAATCATTCAGAAAAAGAAAAAAAAAAGAACGAAAAAAATTGTCGAGGTCGGCGGCGATTGATTGATTGATTGAGGGGGGGCGCCCTCATTCAGCGCCGCTGTCGCGGCGACAGCGCCGGCGGGCCCCCCCATTCTCTCTCTCTCTCTCTCTCTCTCTCTCTCTCTCTCTCTCTCTCTCACACACACACACACACACACACACACACACACAGACACAGACACACACATAGACACACACACACACAAAGACAATCCATCAATCAATCAATCGATCAATCGATCAATCGATCGATTAAGATCGATCTTGATCCTTGTAGATCGATCAAGATCCATGTAGATCGATCAAGATGAATCTTAATCGATGGATTGATCGATTGATTGATTGATTGATTGATTGATTGATTGATTGATTGATTGATTGATTGATTGATTGATTGACTGATCAGGATGCTCGCGCAGGCAACCTTCCGCCACCAATCAATCAATCAATGAAAAATAAAAAATAAAAAAATATAAAAAGAACGAAAATGCACAGCCTGGTTGATTGATTGATTGACTGATTGATTGATTGGAAACGCGCTAGGAATTTGATTCTCGCTATGAATTTGATTATTCGCTGTAGGAAAGGGGCTAGGAATTTGATCATTCAATCAATCGATCAATCAATCAATCAATCAATCAATCAGTCAACCAATCAATCAAGATCCTAGGATCTGGATTGATTGGTTGACCGATTGATTGATTGATTGATTGATTGATTGATTGATTGATTGATTGATTGTTTGATTGCTTGATTGCTTGATTGATTGCTCATGACTATATGTTGTCGTGTGTATGCTATGGCTTGGTTTTTGAAATTCGTTATCACTCATTTCCCTTGCGCGCACACACGCGCATACATACATGCTCTCGACCGGGATTGGAATCAATCAATCAATCAATCAATTTATGAATGTTGATTGATTGATTGATTGATTGATTAATTGATTGATTGATTGATTTGCTGATTGATTGATTGCTTGATTGATTGATTGAGAGAGGGAGAGAGAGAGGGAGAGAGAGAGAAAGAGAGAGAAACAAAAAGAGCGAGAGAGTGAGAGAGAGCAAGAAAGAAAGGCAGAGAAAGAGAGGGAGAGAGAGAGTGATCCCAACTCTTGTGTATGATGTGGCTTGGCTTCTATCAATCTATCAATCTATCAATCAATTAATCGATAAAGCAATCAACCAATCAATCAACTTTGATTGAT